AGAAGGATCTGCTAGAGCGTTTTCAATTTCGCGAATCGCAAAACTGTCATAGTTGTAAGTCTCTTCCAACAAGAATTAGTCTATTGGTCGTTAAAGCGGAATAATATTTAGCTCAACGAGCATGGACATTGTGAAGTTTATGACTTACGCCTAATCATAATAATCCTGATTTCAGACTACGGTCAACCATATAGCTCATATTCATTTTGCTGCTTAGTAGTAGTTTTGTAATTTTTGAACATTGTAGTAATTCAGTGTATTATTTGCATTCTCGTTATACTTGTTGAAAAATTTTTCCTATGGGTATTCACTTTTATTCCTTTTCGCTAACTACGGAAAGAAATTGTAATGACTACCCTCATTTTATAAGATAAACATTTCAATAATCCAAGTCGTTAATGAGTACGATTATTTCATCAACTCCCGTTTGTAAATTTAACGTCTAATTTTGAGGAATCACCTAAGAGCGATCAGTCGTGTTCATACTCAAGAATACTGAGTGCAGTGGAAAATTTCAAACCTTGGGCTGGGTTGAACCATGTCTCTCTTCTAGCGAAGTGTGCTAACCACTCCTCTGCCGGGGCTTCTACTCTGCTACCATTGTTTCCGCGATACAAGGTACCGGGTGTGCTAGCAATCAACCGTTAACGAGTTTAATTTGGTCATCACACAATAGTATCGCACTCAGTTCGGCGACAGCTACTGGATATAAATAATCAACAGAAAATCTTCCATTTTACTTCTTTATAGTAGTGTAATGATATTATAACTATATATCAAGAATGCTGAGTGATAAGCAAAAGTTAGAATGTCGGAGAGTGTTGAACCCAACTGTTTTTACTTGTCACATCTTACATTAGTACAAGTGTTGCAATGGAACGTCTCTTTTTTTTAAACACTATCTGGCTGAATAGTAAGGATAGCATACTTTATTATAACTGGCTTAGTACTCAAAACGACAACGAAGCAGATTTACTGTGATAGGTGGACGCGGTCACCTTTTAAACTGTGTGTCAATGAGGTGTGGACGGTAAGATTGACAGTGGTCCTCAACAACACTAATCTCACAACAAATCCGAGTCCCTAAAGATATTTGATTTCCTATTATACGCAAATTTGACAAGACGAGTTCTAGTAATAAAGAGGTTTGGTTCTTTCTCGTTTGGCAGCATAGTGTTCAAGCCTGTTGCCTACGCTCCACAAGAAGCTTTAATGAAGTGTGTCAGTCATCATTCGAAAGCTTAAATATCAAACAATCAGTGTGTGTAATCGCTCTTTGTACGTATGCATTAGATGGCGAGAAATATTTAAAACCGATCTCATCCGCTGGAAGGAAATTTTTTATAAGAGTGTTAGCGGTCATTCGAAAGCATAGATCTTCCGCTACAACTCCACTTTGCTATTTTTTCAAAACACCCTGTTATAAGGCTGTAGCAGCCCGGAACAAAATTTTGTTTCTCACTCACACTTTATCTGCACTTGTTCCACGAGTATAAGTCGCTGGAAGCACGAAAACAATAGCAGCGTGTAGGGAATTTTCCGTGATATCAAAATCATGCGTTTCTTCCTAAGGCTTACAGCTGGTGACGTGTAGTTGAAGCCAGAGATTTAAGTTTTGAACTGATTAATAAGACATCCATAGAAACTTCCTATCCAGCGAATGAGATCCCATTGAAAATTTTCCGCCGTCTAACATATAACTACCACGTTTTTTGAAAAGACCCTCTGTAACGCAGAAATTTATAAACTACCTTATGTTTGACATGCGCATATTTCTAGCCGGACAGAGCTCTTTCTTTAGACTAATAGTAATCATTCGATAGCGTACATTTAACCGATTCCAACAGTGTGCTCATATTCTCTCATGTGCTTTTGTGCTTCCAGCGAGGCAATATTTGAATTGTGCAGCCGATCTGTACTTTATTTTCGATTTTTTAGCGTTATAGAAGGACCTTTTCGAAAACCACCCACGTATATGGATGGTTGAAAATTTAAGCTTTCGAATAATTGCTTACACTCTTTGTGGAAACTTCCTGTCGAGCGTAGGAGAAAGGCTTGGAAATCCATGGCTAGCAAACGGAAGCGAACGAGGTTTTCCCACTTGCTATCTTTATCCTTTGGCGCTAATATCTCCTTCCTGTAGATCTTATCCCCATACTGTGTGGGATTTGTAAAACGCCTGTAGAAAACATGTCGAACTCCATTACTTCGTAAATTCACAGCTGTAATCGTTGTATTCACCACTGTAGTACAATTGTCGTAGAAAAACTCAACTTTCCACAGTGTGAACAACCACGTGGAAGTGGCTACTAAAACCACCTGCTCTTTTACTGAGCACTATAAAGAGATACGGGAAAAGGTGACAGATAAAATTCCATGAAGATCACTTCCAGCTCCGAATTAATATTTTCAAAATAAAATATTTCGACTAGTACAGTGATTCTGCCGCACTCGGGCTAAATTAGTTTCCGCACAACATTCTCATTAATAAATTGAGAACAGTAAAGAGTAACGAGTTGATTGCTGATGTATCTATAACTCTTGTGGCTAGTAAGCCTTTAATCCCCTAGGTGCTTTCTGTCACTGCTCGTCTTGCTTAGAGCGTTGACAGCACTTGTCATTGCTCGCAGCGAGTCTGTTTGTTGTCAATCACGATATCAATATTTAGACTACAACTCGTCAAAATGCACTGCTCACTCTTTCCGCAGTCTCAGAAATATTCATAACATCATTTATTAGTAAACGTCATATGTGCTTAAGTAAAACACATCTCACTTTTTTAATCAAACATTATAGATCGCTGCCTACGTCGAGGCATACAAAGAAATAAGTTCTCTCCATCAAATAAGCTAATAGAGTCGGTCTGCCTGCGAATCCGCGTAAAATGTCATGAGAGAAGATCACTACTTGGCAATGATTGCTTAGATTGTGACTCATCAAATCAAGGACCTAAATTCATAGAAACGTGATTTGCTGTTGTATTTGTGATTGACAGTACAGTGTCATCCATTTTCTTCAGTGTCATCTGAAACCCATTATTTCTCGACCTCTACACTCTTCTCACTTAACGCAAGGCCTTCTTACGACATTTTCCATTGCAATGCCAGCTAGCTTTACAGTCGAAAAACAAATGTGTAACCGCTGTATTTGCTGATGTTTCACAAGGATGGATGCATATTTAGTGCAAAAAGCTTAGGCTTATTAGTACATTTAATAGGAAGACAAAATGAAATAGAAAAGCCATAGACCAGAGGATGACAGAATAAAGCTTTCTCTATAATTTTAGAAAAAAAAAAAAACTCAAAAATCACTATGAAGTGAGGAAAATATTTCCAAATAAATCGAAAATCCGTGTGAAGACACGCGAACGCGTGTTAGACACAATTTTATTTTAAGTACTGCGAAGCTGCAAGAAAGCCTTTCTAAAAAACAACTTTATTTGTGAATTTAACGAAAACGCTGCAGCATTGACTTCAAACATCGGTGACCACAGCAAGTCATCGCAAAGACCAGATATGCTTTCATTCACCTCCAACAGTGCTAGACCAAAACAAATGCATGACGCATCCCTCATGGGTTGAATAACGCCGAGGTCATCACCTCTATATCTCCAATAATTCATGTGATAAACATATTGGAAAAAGGTCTCACATTACTACTTTACACTGGGGTAAAAGAGCAACTAGATGAAAAGCTCGAAACATTTCACCTCAACTCCGTCAGTTCCTCAAACTTTGCCTTGATCTTTTTGGCTGTGTGTGTTTTTGAGTTGTCTTGCTAGAACAAAGCGCGCTTTCCACGAAAAAGTACAGTTTTTGTTCCCTTGACAATTCCATTCTGCGACAGATATTAACAAATTATATATCAATAGATACGCAAGAAGTAGACCTTTCAAATGATATGAAAATCAGATGACTTATGAGATAAAAAACATTCCCATGCAAACGATGGAAATTTTCTTACCAACCCAATACTTTCCCAATCGCAGTCACAATGAGTGAGTAGGAATAAAGAATGAAAGTATGAAAAGATTGGAGCGTTTTGAGAAAACATCGGAAATCAAAGAAAAAATTGAAGTAAGAATACTTCACCATCATATGTAACTTGGCGCTCCAAACACTTATAGATTAAAGCTCTCGGTAATGATCAAGTTCAAGAAGATGCGCCATGCATTCGTCTCCGTCTGGCGTTTGAGGTAATTGTGTGCATATTTGATCTTCACAAAGACTCGTGGCGACCTACCCACGTATCAAGTCAGTGCTCTTATCTTCCTGTACAAGTCTGGCACCAATTCACAGATCCCGGAAGGATGGAAGACGTGGGAGCCTTGGTCATGAGATCGAACTATCGACCATAGACTACTATTCAACCACGTGTGTGTCACAAAGCACCTTTAACTACTTCGCCACACATTCTCATCAAGATTCACATACATGGATGATTGACACCAAAATTTATAGAAATTCGACCTTTGAGATTCTGACTGCTGCTTCACTTACAATAATTACAATTAATCATGATTATAGCACGGAATCTGCGCATATAAAACGTGACAAAAAATACTCCACGTCTTTTATACAGAGGAGATATAGGGATTTGCTGCATTTGTGATTAGAATAACTGCACAAACAAGATTACCTCTCGTGACTAGAGTTCAGAGGTAGTTCCACAGCGAGGGCAACATGTACAGAGCCTTTTAGCATCAAAACATGAGGGTCAGCCAGTGCCACCGAATCCCTCACATGGCCGCATACTGTCTGCCTTCCAAGACTCGCGATTCATAAAAGTAAGAGGTGTTGGTAAAACTCTCAGCGTTGATCAGTCCTCGCGGGAAACGCCCATTGCCTGAGGTGACTAAAAGTGTGGCCTTTACAATGACTCGAGGTGGGCTACCAATGGATCAAGACAAGGCTGCTATCTTCTCCGACAAGTCCGGTACAAATCCACCGATCCAGGGGATTGAACTTTGAATTGTGCCGAAAAATGAGTGATGGCAGAAAGGAGTGTTGCGGTGCAGTGGTTAGCATACGCTCCTTGAAAGGGTGAGGTGCGAATTCGATTCTTATCACACGCCAAGCAGACTAATCAACATCACAGGGTGTATTCATACCTTTACAACCGCCGTTAGAAAGCGGTTGAATAAGAAGAGTTCTTGTTGATCACATATAATAGGCGCGGTGGTTATAGGTGCTCTGTACACACACACCGTTTATCAAGCTGATTAATGGTTCAATTTCGACCATGCTCAGTGCTCACCAAGCTTGCGTCGTCCCAAGTCTGTAAAACACTACCAGACTGTCTGCGAGTTTAGCATTGCTAACCTGATATATCAGCAGGCTACCAAGAGTCGTTGGAAAGACCACATATTTTTGTCTGGAATCAATCACCTCAAGCGAAGCTAAAATTTGAAGACAGATGCATGGCGCATCCCACAGGGATTAGTTAATGCCGTGAGCCTTATCCCTTCACTTCACTATCATTTATCTACTGACATGACTTTTCCATTCAAGCAAGATATACAGCTGGTGATGGCCCAGGTAGCAGAAATGATCAAGCGTAAAGCAAAATACCTGGGTGTCCATATGCTTCAGCAATGAACTGCCAGAAGCTAGCGTACTTAAATTAGAAAAAATGTTTAGAACTAAATCTGGGTTTGGATAGAGTAAAATTCTCTTAAGATTCTATTCGCCTCTCGGTGGTCGATTTATCCAGTGCCCCAATAATAATAGTTGGAATGAAGCTCAAACTGTGCATTATGCACTTAGTTGTGATCAAGTCACTGGCTTTTGTTCAGATTGAGATGTAGATTATAGTCAAAATACGCATGAGCATATTCATATACAATATACATGACCCCATTACCTATATACAAAGGAAGTCTGCTCTGTTGAACAGCAATTACAAAGTCGATCCTGCTCTACGCTTGATCATTTCTGCTACCTGGGTGACCGAAAATACCTCTAGCAATGAGCTGAGACGTTATAAGAGAGGAAAAAGCCAATAGCTTGATCAAAAATCATGATATTACACAGAATTCAAGAAAGAGAACAGGTTAGAATCTAGATATGCAGATAGATTCACCTCTGAACAAACAGTGCTACTACTTTTTCTTCAAGAATACGAAAGACAGCGTGAACAGCGCGCTTTCACTTACGTCTTTCGGCTGGAGAAAACCAAAAGATTATTACTGAGGTGATGTGGGAGCAGAAAACAATAGTTTATAACAACACACGACTTTTTTGAAACCTTTAGAAATAAAATCTAGCAACCTTGACCTCATTCCGCATCCGTAGATTTACTAAATCCCACTAAATCCCTTAGTTCCTACAAACTTCCACACGCATGCGATACTCCAGAGGGACGCGTTCTAATAAAATGGTAATGGCTGGTCTAGGATAGGCGAAAATAGGTAAACCTTCACCTAAAACGTTTCATCAATACGTTGAAAATAAAGCACTTCACCGTTTCTCCAATCATTTTTCAACCCTTTGACGACAAGGTCTCTTCTCTTTTCCCGGACTTGTATTCATTCGATAGCTTGAATTGCGACACACTGTGCTTGATTCTTAAAGATATCCTCATAGTGGGCTGTAGCAATGAAAACAAAACTGAGATTTACACTCTGCGTGCCATATCGCACGTACTTTCGTTATTTATTTGATACTTATTTCTCTGTCTCGTAAGAATCTCTACGATTTTTGTACTAGATTTGCAAAAGAAACATTGTACCATCGTTCTATGGGCTTATGCTTTTGCTTCCATTTTTAATTTGTCAAATGTGCCCTCTACGAAGCCTAATTTTATGATTTTGAGACGAAATCTTCTTCTCACTCAGCACAATTTGGACTATTCAAAAAAACAAAACTTAGTGTCAGAATCATCTAGATTTATGCTATCCAAAACTATCGAGAGTGTCTTGAAAGACCATGCAGAAACCATTTCCACCACGGTGCCGTCTGATGTTGCGAAACCCCCTCCAAACAATTATTCACACACTCTACCTGGGTGAAAATTGAGCACTAGGCGTAACTCGGTTTCTTTATCGCTTGTGCAGCGCACAATTAAGGCATAGCCCGGATTGAGACCACCGAATTACTATTAAAAGTCTGTTAAAAAGCGGAAAAAGCGTAGTCCTCAAAAGCAAGAAAATGATTAAAGATAACGGAACTATAAAAACTAATAGGAGGAAAAATCTGACAACAACGATGTTCATGAGGAACAGATGGGTTTCAAATGCTCCATTTACGCTCAACGAAACGAACATTTCCGAATGCTCCACTTACGTCTATCTAGGTCGTGAAATCAACATGATAAACGACCTAGGTCCTGAGTTGAGCAGGAGGAAACGAGCGGTCTGGGGAACGTTTAAAAGTGTTGAGGATGTAGTCCAGAGGACAAAGAACATCCGACTCCTTGTCCACCTAATCGACTCGATGATTATCCCTGCCCTGACGTATGCAGCAGAAATCTGGTCGCTACGTGGACAGGATGATAGACACTTAGCGTTATTGAACGCGCAGTCGAAAGGTCGATGCTAGGAGTGTCCCGTATCTCGCAAATGAGAGAAAGGATCCGAAGTTCCGATCTACGTCAGCGATCGAAAATCAAAGTTGCCGTTTTACACGCCAAGGTATCGAAAATAAGGTGGGCTGAACACGTGATGCACCAACGACACCAATGGACGATAGCCGTTACCGACTGGATTCCTCGGGATATCAAGTGCTCTACAGGAAAGCCACCGATCCGATGGTCCGATTTCTTAGGGAAAAGAGAAGAAGAAAGATATGATGCTCGGCGAATTCCTAGAGCGAGGAGGACCCACTGTGCTACTCTTGCTCGCGATGGGGGAAAATGGAAGTGTTGTTGGTGAACGCTCGAGTCACTCGATGATCAACGGGTCGACAGGTGACAGGTGACAGGTGATTAGAAGGAAAGTATAAGTGAGAAATACGAGTGAGTGACTCCATACCCGACGTGAACTGCTTCTTTATTGCCTCGTGTAATCCGAAGAGTGTAGTTGGTTATGTAACTGACGAAAAAGCGACGTTAACAAACCGTTGTAGAACGGAAGCATGCCATCGCTTCGTAGAGTTTAACAGCCATTTGCTCAAATGTTATCCTTCCAGCTTGCTGTGTTTGAAGGTGAACCTGAAAGAAAAGAAAAACACTTCGAAATTACAGAAAGATAGAGATGAGAGCTAACCTTCAACAAATCCAGGTATTAAGTGCAACACGGGACTCGCGGATGCGAGACCACTAAAACACAAGCGACATATGCGGTTATCCTTCGCCTGGGCCATAGTTCCAGCTGAGTGCTCTCATAAATGACCAGATGTCTCTGATAATATGATTAAAGGCTAGGAATCAGATCGGGAAAAGCCAGTGCCAAGAACAAGGGTAAGGAATGCAAGGAGGCTTTATTCTGTAGTACAAAACTGTGGCTAACGACCTATACACAATGCAGACTAATATAAATTAGAAAACTATAATGCACATCGTACAAGACATGATAGAACATCACTGATCAACATCTGAAGTCTTTCATGTACGAAAGAACACAAGAGGGAGGGGCTGTGACAGTGTTGGGCGCGAAGTCGACCATCTCCCATGTTCCCCCGAAACTATCCGGCCTTCAATCAACGAATGTCCTAGGGAACACCGCGGCCTGACTATCCTCGAGAATGCAACGAGTTCTTCCTGATCAAAGTTCTACGCCGTTTGTGAAGAAGACAAAATCTTCAAGAAAACGATGAGTGCGAGGAGTCAAATCGAATGCTAGAAGTACTGGTATCCGCGCAATATGAGATGAAAACGGATCCTGCACAATAAAAAACCACCTTTGTTTATCTCTTTATTTGATGCGCATTGAATTTTCTCCCTATGTGGATCACTGCACTTCTAGCTTTCAATTCGCTTTCTCGCTTCATTGTTTTTTGAGGATTCGACTTCTTCATGAACATCGTAGAACACTGATTAGGCAGATTCCCTTGGAATCTCGAGGATAGCTAAACTGAGAAGTTTTATGGGCGATCCTTATTAAATGCCGATAAGTGCTGGAGGGGTAGGGAGAACTCCGGCCCGAGCCGCACCGATCATCACTAATCTCTTGGCCATGTATTGTCATGAAAAAGCGAAACAGACCGCACAGACTCTCGTGAAGTACTCCTTCTCAATCTGAAAATGCTTATTTCTCCAGAACATCAATAGCTTTGTGATGACTCAAGTAGATGAGTTCAGATTATGACGAATCTGTATAATATGCTTCGATTTATAGCATTGACTTGGTATTATACAATCTTCTCGAACATTCTAAGATTCGCAAATATTGAGAAATAAGATTTCTACACACTTCTAGATCAAAACTCGGAAATTACAAGCAAACGAAACAGAATAAGAAAAGAAGAAGAGCGGGAGCTGAAGCCGCGATTCACCCATATCGGAGAGCGGGCGAAGGGCGTGTTACCAATTGACCTTCGATACCATCGCTATGCAATCGCTCCTTCTTCGATATATCCTAAATTCTCCTAGAATTACATCAAAATTAAAGGTTCTCTGAGCTGTTCAAGTAAGAGGCATAAAAACAAGATTTGTTCAGGTATGAACATAATAATAGGATATTATTTATTAGTAGATAAAAAAGCATTCAGGCATAAGTCAATCTGTAAAAACCATAGATAGATAGGATTTGGCGACCCGAGAAGATGCTGTTAGCTAACAAAAATGTACTAAACAAATCGAATAGGGAGGGAAGGGCTTGACCGGGTGGTTAGTGATGCACATAATCAGGAAGAGATGCACTGGTCCAACCGCCTCCCAAACAATCTCCTGCAGCTGCTTGAGATTAGTCTAATCGGATAGATACTATCCTGAAGACTACCAAAAGGACATCTGTTCGACCAGTAAGAAGACCACCTTCTGAAGCAGCAGTCGATACGACACCCGAGATGTTTGAAGACCGTTGTAGAGGGCAAAAGCGAGAAAACGAGTCGAGCCAGAAGTTCTCGGTTTGACGCGATTGAATCTGATGACGAATTATGTACTTTTTTGGAAAAAGAGGAACATTTCTGTTATCTCC